CCAACACTGAAATTGTCATGGAAAACCAACGTACCAGTGTGGGTTAACCAGTGGCCGCTTTCAGAAGAGAAGCTGCGACACGTTCAGGACCTGGTGGAGGAACAGTTACGAATGGGCCTTATCTATGCAATGATATGGGTGCGCTGCAGCCCAGTCTCCCATCACCAGTAACGTTTCCAAAGTTTTGGAACCTTTTAGTGGTTGATCTGAAAGACTATTTTTTCACTATTTTCCTACATCTGGAGGATAGTGAGCGTTTTGCATTTACTGTACCTTCCATCAACTGAACCGCACCGGCTGAGCGTTATCAATGGACAGTTTTGCCTCAGGGAATAAAAAATTCTCCAATAATTTGTCAATGGTTCGTGAACCTTGCTTTGAAGCCTTGGCAAACGGCGCATCCTGATCTACTAACCTACCACTATATGGATGATATCCTAGTGGCCAGCAAAGATCGAATTACTGAAGCCTTAGAGCAGGAGCAGGAGCTAACTGACCATCTACAGCGTCATGGCCTGGTTATAGCTTCAGAAAAGGTCCAGCGGCACTCTCCCTGGAATTATTTAGGTATGACCATCACAGACTCCCGAGTACGTCCACAGAAGATGCAAATAAGAGCCAACGTGAAAACAGTGAACTCAGTGCAAAAATTGGTTGGTGACATACAGTGGATCAGGACTTATTGTGGTATTACCAACGAAGAGATGGCGCCTCTGTTTGCGTTGTTGCAAGGGGCTACAAATCCCGCAGAACCAAGGCAACTTGGCCCCGAAGGAGAACAGGCAATACGGTCAATTGAGAGCAAACTGGCAAGCACTGCAGCATATCGGTATCAGGAAGATTTGCCCGTGACTCTTATAATATATAACCAGCATCAAGAAGTTGCCGCTCTTACTGCTCAGATTGATACCTGCACCATCCCCTGTTTAATATGGCCCTAGTGTTGGAAGAAAGACTCTTATTGTGCAAAGATCCCATCACTGATGCAACAACCGTATTTACTGACGCCAGTACTCATAGTGGGAAGTATGGGTGTGCTTATCGACAAGAAGGGCACTGGGTTACTCGTGTGAACCAGAGTAAAGCGTCGGTACAGATGCTGGAATTGAAAGCAGTAATATGGGCCCTAACAGACTTTGCTCATCGTCCCTTAAATCTTGTAGTGGACTCATTATATGTAGTTGGAGCAGTGACACAGATTTCACGATCTATCATAGGGCATGTAGCTCACAGGGAGTTACAAGCCTTATTTATCTGTCTGTGGAACATCATGGAACAGCGCCAGCCACCGCTGTGGTGTTCCCATGTCAGAAGTCACACTACCATACCAGGTCCATTGACGGAGGGCAATGACTATATTGATAGGGCTGTTTCTGATCTTTGTGTAGCCTATGTGACACCTGAACAGAAGGCTTGTGCTTCACATGAGTTTTTTCACCAGTCTGCCCGCGCGTTACAGCGCCAATTCCAGATATCACAAGCAGCTGCTGGGGCAATTATCGCAGCATGCCCCGATCGTGCGCGGTTATTGCCAATCCAAGAAGAGGGGGCTAACCCCAGAGGTATTCAACCACGTCAAATTTGGCAGACTGATGTTACAGAGTTCCCACCATTTGGTCGCCTGAAGTATTTGCATGTCACAGTAGACACTTCTTCAAAAGCAATATGGGCAACCCTGGCTGTATCGGCCGGTGCTAAGGCAGCTCGGCTACACTGGTCTCAGGCGACAGCAGTATTAGGCTGCCCAAGCACTATCAAAACAGACAATGCACTGGCATACAAGAGTAGCGTATGTCGAAAGTTTTTTCAGCAGTGGAGCATCACACGTGCTGCAGGCATGCCCTATAATTCTGCTAGTCAGGCTATCATTGAAAGACATCATCAGAGCCTGAAGCGTTTGCTTGCAGTTTTGAAAAAAGAGGGGGAGGCGGGTCCCTATGAGTTTGTATGTAAGGCATGTTATGTCTTGAATTGGCTCAATCCACGTTCAGATGATTATATACCTATTTTTTCTCATTTTTCTTTTAATTCTACAGATTTTTCTGG